TTTCTGACCTAAGACACTCAGCCATGAGCTGAGGCCTCCAGGGCTGAGCTTAACTAGAGCTGCTGGGCCCAGGGGCAGGGGCTGTGGGAGGAAAGCCCAGGTGAGGCTCCTCATGGCCTGGCAGAGCTGGGAACAGCTCCTTAGGGGTTAACTTGATGTTCCTGTCCTGTGAAGCCTTTCTAGGTGATCTAGATTGGAAAAGCCTTTTGGGAAGTTTGTGTCCAGGACAGGGTCAGCCCTGTGTGCACACCAAGACTTTGTCTGGAAGGGGAAGGAAAGGGGGAGCTCCTCTCCCAGAGCAGGGCACAGAGCCCTGGCTGTGCCCATCCCATTTCCAGTCCCCAGAGCTGCAGCTCCAGCTCCTTGCCTGAGACACTGAAAACATCCCCAGAGGAGTCCACATTAGCAAGGCCACAAACCACATTAAAGAACCACAGAAGCCAGTTTGGCTCTGAGAGCTCCTGGCAGAATTCCAGGGCTCAGCTGGGGCTGGGGCTGCATCCCCTTCCCCTGCACAAGGGCAGGAGGCTGCTTGGAGCTGTGCTGGTGCCTCTGTCTGCACTGTGGAGCCACCAGCCTCTGGTTTTGGTGGAGAAATCCCAGGTGCTCCCACACAGAGCATCCAGGTTGGATTTGTGCCTGTCCTGAGCAGCAGCACTCCCCGTGTGGGACCCAGTTGTGAAGTGATGGCTGGAGCAACAAAAATGGGTGAGAAGTGGGTGTTGGTCCTCTGAAACACGCAGCTTTTGGGGGTGCGGGGGGGATGAGGGGGGAATATGGGCTGGGAGAGAGGAGACATTGGAGCAAAGGCACTGGAGTCATGCTGGAAGCACAGCAAGCAGGAAAAGCTGGGACTTGCACTGGGAAAGAAAGGGCTGACCCCCATCCTTGGTGGGAGGTGGGATGCCTGAGGCCGTGGGCAGCCCCAGGTGGTGGCTGCTGAGTGGAGCATTACTGGAAGGAGCCTGGGAGCCCTGTGTGTGCTGCCTGGAAGCATCACTGCTGCCTGCCTTTGCTTCCCCATGCACTGCAGGATGAGCTCATTGGCATTCCCTGCAGTGAGCCCACTCAATCACTCTCACCAAAACCACTTCACCAGCAGCAAGCCAGCTCCTCTCTCTGCCTCTGTGCCTTTGCAGTGCTGCTCCAGCTCTGCAGCTGCAGCATTACAGCCTGCCCTGCCCCGGGTGACAGCCAGGCTGTGCCACCAGCCCCAGCTGATCAGGGCTGCTCCTTGCACTGTCACTTTTTCACATCTTTAGTTCAGTCAGTTTTCCCTGTGCTCTGCCAGCAGGTAGGGGAGAAAGAGATGTTGGACTGGGTTAGGTTTTCAAGCAATTTTCATTTTCTTTCCCCCTTTTCTCTTCCCTTCCTCTCCTTTCCCCATGGGAATGGGTTCATTTTAGCCCTTCCCTGCTTAGTGGGGTGGACAATTGTCCCCAGCCCAGCCTGGTGCCAGCCCCTCTCTGTGTCCTGTAAAGTCCCCACTTTGCACTCAGCTGCTCCCAGAGCTTTTCTGGCCACCCTTCCCCACTGTCAATTCCCATTTATTACATATTTCATGATCACCATGAAATCTTTTTTGGCACTATTGTTACTTCTTCCCCTCTGAGTATCCATTTGGAGATTGTTTGCTGAGTTTTTTGACTCACACACACACACACAAAGAGGTTTTGTGAAAATTGTCTAAAATGGGATGTGCTTTTTGCAGTCTTTTGACATCTGTGGCCGTGTGGGAAGTGTCAGGAAGGCACTGAAGGTCCTTTGCACCCCCCAGGTAAGGAGTTAAACGTAGAGGAGCAGTCCCAGAGGTGGAGCTTTGTTCTTGCTGAATGATAAAATGGAAAATTGCTCAGGACCACAGAATAAAACAATGTTAGCCCACGGCTGGACAAGCTGGAGGCTCCTGTCAGGGGTGTCAGGGACCTTTTCTGACATCTGCCCTGCCCCAGCTGTGGTGGGAGATTGTTCCTGTTCTGTCTGACTGGAAGCTTTGTGTAATGTGGATTAATCCAACTGCAAGGAGCTGACAAAACTTTGTAGTGCAGAGTGTGGCAAGGACTTTGTGGTGCCTGATGTGCAGTGACATTGAAAGAGACCCTGCAGTGCACAGGAATTATCCCAGGCACTGCATTCCACAGGGCTGATATTTAGATCTGCTGCAGTGACTTACATTTTTTAAAGGGTAAATCAAAGGCTGTAGAGGAAAAGAACCTCATCAAAGTTAGAACTTGCTTATTCCCTGAGCTTGGGCTGGTCATTTTCCCTCAGCAGGTTTCTGTTTCCCCTAAATTTGTTACAGTGGGAGAAGCAGCATTTACCTTCCCTGTATCTGAAGGGGAAGTGGGCAGCCTGTGGGCACAGCTGCTGCTACTCTTTCTTCTATTGTCTCCTGCTTGCTAATAATAACAATAATCCCTCCCTCCATCTAAACACCCCTGCAAATGATGCTGAATTAATCCTCTCAGCTCCCTGTTGAGCTCATTAAATTCCATTATCCTTGCTGCACGAGTGGAGGCCCTAAAAGATGGAGTCAGCTCCAGGGGAGGGGCAGACAGGGAGCACAGAGCTCCAGACTCCTCTGTGCCCACATCCCCCTTCCCCACCGGTGACAGGACGCTCTGGGGGGACCTGGGGGTGAAAAGCAATCTTTGTGCACATTTCCCCTTCCAGCCCTTTGATGTGGGGTCTTGTTTCTCCCCACCTCTCCCTGACAGAGCTATGGAGCCCGTGCCACGAGCCAGCAGTGCAGTGAGGCAGGAGACATCTGTGCCATCTGCCAGGCAGAGTTCAGGGAACCTCTGATCCTTCTGTGCCAGGTAAGCTCCCAAAAATCCCTGCTGCCATTCCTGCAGTGAGCTCCTGCAGTGGGGAGAGGCACAGCCAGCCTGGGAGCTCCTGAAGGCCTTTGCTGCCTCTTGGTGCAGCTCCTGGTGGGTCTTTATTGCCCTGGGTGGCCACTGGGTTGTGGCAGCTGATGGGGTGAGCGTGGCTGTGGGATGGGCACAGCCTTGTGGGGCAGGGACTGCAGACCTGGGGCTAGAGTGAGCAGAGCTTTACCTGCCCCTTCAGAGGGCTGGGTAGATTTAAAACTCCCTTTTGATAACAGGGTTATCAAAGAAAGCCATGCTGTGCACCAAAGGTGCCTCTTAGCCTTGCTAAGAGTGAACATCTGTGCAGATGTTTCCAAGCTGGAAGCCCCAAGAAGCTGCTTTGGGGCCTGCTTGGCAGAGCTGGGATTTGAGGGGTGACATTGCTGCTGACTCCTCATGTGTGGAGGAGTTCCCAGTTTCTCACAGCTCCTCGTGCTCCCTCCCTGCCCTTTTCCTGCTCTCCCAGTCTGGGGCTGGATGCTGTGTGCTGGGGAGAGGCCAGGGAGGGCTCAGTGCAGAAACCAGAGGATGAGAACAGCCATTTACTGAAAAGGGGGGACTGGGACTGCAGAATAAAGCAGATGCAAGGAGCAGGGGGAAGAAAGAGATTATTAGAGCTTAGTGAGGACTTAGGGTAAAGGAAAACCCTCTCAGCTCCCCTGTCAGTCCAGGTGTTGTAGACCTTTGCAATGTTTCTTTTTAGTGGTGTTATTAAAAAACAGAGCTTTGGAAAACTGGGGTTATTTCCCACACCCTGTGAGTGCCAGCTGTACCAGCTGCTTCCCTGCTGGTGGTGTGTCCAGGTTTAAACAGACAGGTGTCTGCTAAGGAAGGCAGGAGCCTCCCCTGAAATGGAAATTGTAAATGTAAACCCCCCCTCACTCCAAATTATTATGATCTTTGAAATTAAGGGGCTCTCAGGCAAAGATAGGGGAATAGGAGTAACAGTTCTTTACTGGAAAAATAGAAAATACAAATGCAATAGTAC